GGGAAGTGGGGGTCCGCAGGGGTGGGTGTGCAGATGAGGCACTACGGGACTGGCCTGGTGGCGGCACAGGTCCTGACTAGGTGCGCACAGAGGCGCCTGTGGAAGGGTTTGGTCTCCGCCCTCGAGGGCATGACCTGCGGGGGCCCTGGGGGAGACCTGGCCTCCAGCCACAGCGGAGTGGGAGCGGGTGAGGAAGGGCGGGCAGCTGTCTCTGTCTCTGGGCCCCACCTCTGTGGAGGTCACTGGCGTCAAAGGTGCCTGTGACGGGGTAGCAAGCTGTGCCGTCGCCCCCACACTTCAGACACACGTCCTCCTGCACTGACGAGTCCAGGCGGTGGTCACAGCCGACCCGCTGCAGGCGGAGAAGAGGGAGAGCGCCAGGGGGTCACTGAGGGCCACAGCCCAGGAGGACGAGCAGCTCATTATTGGTGGGGGCGGCTGAAGGCCCACCCAGGCCCTCCCAGCACCGGCGCCCCCGTCTCCGGCACCCCATCCTATCTCCGTTGGGGGTCACACCCTCCTCCAGCACTCGGTAAAGCTCCCCACACAGGAGGTCTGGGCCATCCGGTGGGTTATACCCCCAATTCGAAAAGTGTCTCAGGGGAGCCCCAAGCCAGGACATCAACTGGGTAAGCCCAGTTTGCAGGGTCTCCTGGGAATGGGCACCCTGGAGACAGCTTCACAGCCGGGAAGACCCCGCTGGGCCCGGGGCTCCCGTGGGGTGGGCAAGGGGGGACACTGCCAGCAGCGCCATGCAGGCAAGTAAGAGGTCCGGCCCTCCCGCAGGCCTTCACCTGTCCCTGGGGGGCAGGTCAGCTGGGTTTCTGTAACCCGCCTCCCAGAGGGTTACTCTGCAAAGGTGAAGGGTCACGGGCCTCTTGAAGCAAGAGGTCTCGGCGTCCTAGGAGCTGAGGGGACGTGGAGCTCCAGCGGCCTCGGCCCCGCCAGGGCCGTGCAGACACCAGCTCAGTGGTGGGGGGCGGGGGCCGCTCACCCGGCAGCGGCCTTCCACACAGACGTCCCGCCTGCCCGGCTCGCAGGGCGTCCCGTCCAGCACGGCCTCCCTGTGCTTGTAGTAAAAGCTCTCGCCCTTGGGGATGCAGTTCAGCTCACACTTGTTCGGGGCTAGGGCAGGCAAGAGTAAGAGGTGAGACCCCGAGGAGGCCCAAGGGCTATCCTAGCGACAGTGGTGGTGACCCAGACCGGGGACAGCTCCAGGAGCCCCGAGTGCCACCCCCACTCCAGGGAGGACCTTCCCCGAGAAACCGCTGCATCTCTAGGGATCAAGGAGAAACTGCTCAGGAGGAGGAAAATCCTGCAGACTAGAAGAGGTCGATCTCAGAGCATTCACAGTGGCC